CAGAGAGAAAAGACTTATCTGATCGTCATAAAGCTGATAAAAAATTACTTAAAGCAGCTTTAAGTAGAACCACTTCAAACGATGCTTCATGGAAAGAAAAACTAGCAGCATTAGGTGTTTCAGCTGCAATGGATACCAAGTTAAAGTTGGGTATGGGATTGGATAAATTGGCATGTAAAAATAAAATATATTCATTCAAATCTGAACATCAACAGAGTTTAAAGATAATAATGCAAGGTATAAAATCTATGCAAGTCTATTTAAAAATGGAACTATTAAAAGATAAACTTCGAAAATTGTTACAGCAAAATATTAAAAATAAAATTACAAATAAACAGAGTAAACCAAAGAATAAAAGTTCTAAAGAGAAAATAGTTCGAGTGAAATTAGATAGAAATAAAAATCAAAAATTTGAAATAAAAAAGAGTAAGTCTTATGATAATGATGATTTAAATAAATCACAAAACCAGGAGTTTAATATTGATCATTATCATGAAAAGAAAATTAAACAAAACAATCAAAAATCGTTGACTAAAAATGAGAAAAGAGGGAAAAAACGTAGAGTTTTTGAGGTTGACGATGATGATGATTATGATGATGCTAATGAGATAGATTTAAATATAAAAGAAAAACCTAAATTTCACAATGAAATTGAAAATAATTTATTTTCAACTCAATCGTTACGAGGTCTCAAAAGACAATTAAATGCTGCTGATGATGATGTAAATAAAAATACTAATAAGAAAGCGAAGAAAATAAGTTTAAAACGTCCACACGATGTAGTACTTCATGATAATGATGAAAGTCAATATGTAAAAAGACCTAAATATATATAAAGTGTTACAAATCCATTACTAACTTAATTGAAAACTAACAGCAAGATTACAAAGTCAATCAAGAGTGATACAATAGACAAACATAGAGTTAATTTTATAAAATCTAAAAGTAGGAAGGTTATAAAAATGCAAAGACAGCAGAAGGAAAACAAAAGTGGTAAATCTTTTCAAACACTAACGAGTGCAATTAAAAAGGCTATACTGAAACAAAAACTTAAAAGTCTTGAAAGTGCTTTAAAAATAGGATTAAAAACAGCCACCACTAGAAAGAAATAGAGACATTATTAAGACACCTCGTGTTATAAAAATTCCTAAAACTGGAGGTATTTTGCCATTAATACCTATTTTTGCCGGTCTTAGTGCATTAGGTGCTCTAAGCGGTGGAATTGCAAATATTGTAAGAGTCGAAAAGGAAACTAAGGCAGCAAAACAACTTAACGAAGCACAACTTCACAATAAAACTATGGAAGCTATTGCAATGGGAAAAGGATTGTATTTAAAACCATACAAGACTGGATTGGGACTTTTTTTACATCGGGGTTTCAAATCAAAAAATTGTCCCTAATATTACCTAAACATGCTCTTAATGATTTAGAATTAACAATATATGCTAAAAATTTGAAAGTGTTACATTTTCGACGTGTGTTTATGAAGGATTGTCTGCCACGAAAAATTCGTAAATTTGAATCGGGAATAGTTAATCTTGACATTATGTCAGGAACTGGAACTCATTGGACTGCATATCGAAAAGTAAATAGGAATATTTACTATTTTGATAGCTATGGTAATTTAACTCCTCCGTTAGAACTTGTAAAATATTTTAAATCTAATGGACTTTGTAATATATTTTATAACCATACATCTTATTAAACTTATAATTCTGTAAATTGTGGTTATCTATGTTTAAAATTTTTAATAAATGGTTATGTTTAGACATTAAAAGTTTTATTATTTTATCAACCTTCAACAATGTCATATACGTTTACTTTATCGGGTAAAGAATCGATACTTTCTGCAATAATATATCCTCCTATTGTTCTCAAAGAAAATGATAAATACATATTAGGTCTGATAAATTTTGAAAGTTATAATTCCATTCCGAATATTGATAGTACCAATAATATTTTTTATTATGATAATAATAAGAAAATTGTTTTACCGGAAGGATCTTATGAAATTCAAGATATAAATCGTTATTTGCAAGAGTGGTTTAAGCAACATTCAAAAGAAGAGAAAGTGAATATTTCTATAGAGGCAAATCATAATACTTTACAGTGTGAACTTAAATGTACTAAAACTGTTGATTTTTCAAAGGCAAACTCTCTATTGGAAGTCTATTGGGTTTTAATAACCAAATATTAGAAGCGGACCAGACACACGTTTCAAAGAACCCCGTTGTTATTTTTAAAGTAAATTGCATAGCCATAGAATGTAATCCTGTAACAAATTCATATAATAATGGTAAACCAGTTCATATCATTCATATGTTCTATCCCACCACCCCTCCAGGATTTAAAATAGTTGAAAAACCATCAAATGTAATATAATTACCAATCAGCATGCGCTATGTTGATGAAATTATTCTTAAAATAACAGATCAAGATGGGAGACTACAGTGTTTTTATTTTAACTGTGAACATAGGGCTTATAGCGCCATGCTATTCTGCTATGTTCATCTTTATTATGGTAAAGAGTCAATGCATTGGATTTGAATTGAACAGTATGCAACCAACAATACTCCGTACAAAAATAATAATATTTGTCTTAAAATAATTTATTTTGTTTAACCAAAATTAGGGTATTCTTTCTCAAAAAAAAATACAATTTTGGAATAATCTGTTTTGGATGACAAATAATATCTTGCATTTTACTTAATGACTATTAATTTTTTGGTAACGAATCGCTTGTTAATATTTATTTAATCAATGGATGAAAAGATGAAAAAAGAAAAAAAGGTTGGTTATGGCTGGTTATGGGATTGACAACGTGAACGAGAATTCTACGTGAACGTGGAGCGTAAAAAATATTCTCCATGTTTACAAGCTTATGTTGATATTTATTATTCATGATTTAGTGTAATAAGGATCACTTATTAAGATATGCTAGTTTCAACATTTTGTAATAGATACAAAGCGTCTCATTGGCGTCTAACCTCAAGGGCGAATCCGCTAAGAAAGGTAATATCACTTTGTTTTTAGTTTTAACTATTTATTCATCATATTTTTATTTACTTAAAGCACAAAACTGTAGCACACTTAAAGACAAATTCGTTATAATGGTAATATAATACTAAAAGTAACTTTGATTTTAGGTGCAAATAATGAACATGTACTGAAATAGTGTACTTATTTATTAACATATTAAAATTAGAATTACAAGAGATGTTCAAAATGCCCTCCCTCACATTCCAAGCAATATGCAAGACGGTTTTTAAATTCCTCTACAGCATTTCTGAGGAATTGAGGATTTATTGAATTACATGCTGTAAGTACCCTAGTTTTTAATTCATCTTGGTCTTAGCCTCATCTGTGAATATTATGTTGTGCAAGAGGTCATTGTTATTATTAATTAAATTAAATAAATTTTCACAAAATACAGTGCGTCTTTCTTTGTCTTCTTCAAATAAAACTTGGTGATTTCCATATTTATACGATTTAAATTTGAATTCTTTCAATAAATTGTGAACTGACGACTTGGAAACACCAAAACGCTGTGAAAGTGTATTTAGCATTACCCTTTCATTTTCTTCAACGTAACAAAAAATTCTAATTTTAAATTTTCCGTTAGTACCGGACATTGTCGTACCCTCTTTTTATGCAGATTATTAATACAGCCTTCATGATTAAATTTTTGTACTAACTTTTGAATTAGTCCCACCGATGGAATTTGTTTGTCGGGATATTTAGCCGCAAATATATCGCGGACTGATCTTATGCTGTTACCGCTTAGGTATAAAGACACCATTTCAATTTTTGCTTTTTCTGTAAACATAATATTTTATATTATTAATTTTACAATCAATTTACAATGAAAATTTAAAAATAAATTATAAGAAATGGCTTATTTTAAAACAAAAAAATAACGTTTTTTAAAATGCCGGTTTAAAATTATGAATTGTTGGTTGCATACCCACTATGAAAATTCAATGCGTTGACTGTTTTATTTTAAAAATGATAAAAAATGGATAAACATTATTCGTTAATATGAAATAAACATGTTTGTTTTTTAATTAAAATAGGTATCAACTAGTCTATAAAATATAATGATACAAACAAAATTTGTTTATTAATATGAAATAAACATTGTTGTATTGCATAAACAAAATTTGTTTATTAATATGAAATAAACATGTTTGTTCAAATTATTTCAGAAAAACAAAATTTGTTTATTCATAAGTAAACATGTTTGTTTTTAAAATTATTATTTATCAATATTTGATTCAAAATATTATTATAAACAGATACAATTTTTTTATTAACATGAAATAAATATGTTTATCAAAATAAAATAAACATATACAAGTTGTTCATGTACATGAAGTAAATATGTTTATTAAAATTGTTATCAGAAAATAAATGCTAAACCGTCTATAAAATCTAATAATAAAATTGATGTAAACAAAATTTATTTATTCATAAGTAGTAAACATGTTTATCGATATTTGATTCACCATATTATAAACAGATAAAAATTATTTATTAACATGTTTATTAATATTTCCTTCAAAATATTATTATAAACAGATAAAAATTGTTTATTAACATGAAGTAAATATGTTTGTCTAAACAAAATAAACAGATAAAAATTGTTTAAAACATGAAGTAAATATGTTTGCCGAAACAAAATAAACAGATAAAAATTATCCATTTACATTTGAAGTAAATATTGATATTATTATAAACATATAAAATTGCTCATTATTATGAAATAAACATGTTTGTTTAAATTATTATTAAAATTGATATTAATAAAATTTGTTTATTAATGTAAAGTACCTAAATATGTCTAAGTTATTATTAGAAATTAACTTTGATATATGTACTTTGATATATTTAATATTCTAATATGAAAAAATATATAAACTCAATTAAAAAGAAAATAGACTTCAGTTGCTATTGAAATCACATCAAACAAAAAAATCAACCATCAGCCAACCAACTCAACATGTCTGCACCTAAAGAAATAAACAATTTAAGTGAAACAATTGTGAGAAAACTTCAAGAAATTGGTAAGTTAATTAAAAATATAAATGAATAGAATAAGTAGATAAAATACTTAAACAAAACTATTTTAATTTTAAAAAAATATTTAAAAAATAGTAACAAAACAGAAAAAAATATTTCTTCCAAATTAGAATCTAATTTGAATTTACTTAAGAATCTCAGAGAACAATTTAAATATAAAAAAAATTAAACAGAAAAAAGAATTATGTTGGATTGAACTTGATTCTTGCTTCAAAAATCGCATTAGAACAGGAGCAATAATTAATTTTAGTATTAAAGACCCAGTCAATTTTTTTAAAAAAGCTTATAGATCTTTTTTGTATAAAGTTAAAAAAGAAGTTCAGAAATCATTATTAAAAATAAATGTCATCTTTTTAGGAAATTTTATTAAACCTCACACTGGGGAAACTGCAATTAAACATTTTTCTACAAAAAATCGAGTAGTAGATCACAATACAAATTTAAAAGATTTTTATGATGATCATATTAAAAATAATTTATTGAAAAAACTGGAAGAGTTTCAAGAACGAGATTCCGGATGGGCTCTTTATCAAATATTACAATTAAAAATTAATTTTAATAACTATACACCAATAAATGTAAGCAATTCAACATATGTATCGATACCAAAATTTATTCAAAATACTAAAGGGGTTCTTAATATTGAGAATAAAGATAATTATTGTTTTCTCTGGACTATAGTAGCAGCATTGTATCTTTGTAGCTCTAATTAAAATCCAAGAAGAACATCTTCTTATCCTCATTTTAGTGAGGTTTTAAAATATGATAATATTAATTTTTCAATAAAACTAAAGGATATAAAAAAATTTGAAGCAATGAATAATATTTCTATTAACGTTTTTACTGTAGAAAAGAAAACAGTTTTACAGTATGTTTAAGTACGTTTAATTATTTGATGAAAGTTAATTTATTAATGCTCTCTACAAATAAAATATTTAATAATAATGATAGTGATAAACATAAAAAAACATGAAGTATATACAATAAACCAAAAAAAATTGCCCTAACACCACAAGATGATAAAAGAATTGTTAATTATATATTTACAGATACATTACCATGGGGATATAACCAATAATTTTATCCACTTATTATTATCATTATTATTTTTAATTACCTTTCAATTTTGAAGTAACTCAGACAATGGAACAAGAACAAGTTCCGATCTTAAAATATAACAAAATTGTTTCACATGCCTTTGAACCAACCAAAGGTAGTTTAAAAGCAGCAGGGTATGATTTGAAAAGCCTGCTAAATACTATTGTACCAGCGAAAGATAAAGCAACAATTCCAACTGGTATAAAATTGGAATTGGAACCTCAAAATTGCTATGGTAGAATAGCACCAAAGTCTGGTTTGGCTGTAAACCATTTTATTGATGTGGGAGGTAAAAATTTATATCTATATCATTAAAAGTAATTTTAATTACATATATTTTTTCTTTTTATAGCAGGAGTTATTGACGAAGATTACAGAGGAGAGATTAAAGTGGTTTTATTCAACCATTCAGATGAAGATTTTCATATACGTTTATCTATAAAATTGCAAAATTGCCAGACATGAACTATAAATTGCATATATTTTTATTATATATAATGTGTTTAGCATATATTCTGACGTATATTACTAAGGAATTTTAACGTAGTTCATATTGTTCGAGATGTTTTATTTAATAACTTATTTCTTTCATTCTGTATAATCTGCTTATTATGAAAGTTGAAGATTTTCCAACGATATTTTTGGCAAACCGGCATCGCCGCGCATGGCCGCCTATTCATCGAACATGATTGGCGAGAGTACGTCACAGGATTTGTTACCACGCGGTTGCCATGGCTTTTACGCCTTTCCTATTCGTTTGCTTTATCCCCAACTTCACGGTCTCTTCTGAAAAGAGTAGGAATATTGAATACTATTGAAATATCCAGTGGCGGTGTCATTTTTTTGATCATTATTACTTTATTTCATTCCAACCCTCAGCTGTAATTATTTCTTCTATTATATTAACAACACAATAATAAAATGATTCAAAATATTTAAGGGAGCTTTAATAAAAGCTTTTAGTGTTTATCTGCTAACTCAACAGTAACGATTCAAACAGCATAAAGTTTTTTGAAAAAAAATATTAATCTGAGTATTATATTTATGATACACATTATTTTCATATAACACCGTACGCCCATGCCTATTTTATGAATGAAATTGGGCGTGTTTTGTTTACAACTACGTTCCCCTGCCGATACCCCGTAGCTACAGATCCGTTGGTCACACTATACCAGAAGCTGTTAAACAAGTCGTCAGAGAAAAAATGGATCTACGACAAACACTTATACGACGAAACATATCTAATCGATAATATAAATATAAAAATTTAAAAAAACAATAAAACCTATTTTTGTTCAACTATTTCTTGTTTTACTGTATATTCAACCATTTCTTGTTTTACTATACTTTATATTAAAATTAGGATAAGTTAGTCAATAATTTAGGTTGATATCATTTAATACATTTAAATAAGTAAAACATTTTCATCAACACCAACTATTCTGTAAACAGCTTGCTAAAATTAAACACAGTTATCTTAACATTTAACCTTACAGACGTAAATTCACTTATCGACACCTTTAACCTCTAATTAAATACTCAATTAACAATCAATTAATAATAATGTGGTTACCAAACATATACCGATCAATATGTTTCTATACATAAAAAACACTACCCCAAACCAACATTACAGTTGAGGGTTGGAACCTTTGGTGTTACACAGCAAAATAAAAACACTAAATCACCACAATACACCAAAACACTTTTACTTTTACACTGGACGCGCGTTTCGCTAACCATGTTAGCATCATCAGCAGATGATTATAAACCAGTTTATAATCATCAACATGGTTAGCAAAACGCGCGTCCAGTGTAAAAGTAAAATTGTTTTGGTGTATTGTGGTGATTTATTGTTTTTATTTTCCCCAAACCAACCCCTAAACTACCCCAATTATGGTCCTTTAGTCATGGGAGTAAATAAGGCCCTTTTCTACAGCCTCTGGTATTGACATTCACTTCTTTTATATTTTTGTAATTAATACCTATACTGTAACAGGTAAATACACTTCCTTCAGGCAGGTAATCGACAAGAACTCCTGAAAGTCACTGAAACGCCTGAAAATTTCAGGAAGTCGATGGAACCTGTCACAGTATAGGGGTAAGATAACTACTTCCGTTTGCCAAAAATAAGCAGAATCGTGGTTAAGAAATTACCCAACTTTTTGAATCACCCTGTATGATTTTTAAAAAATTTCAAAATATGTAAAAAAAACAAATAAATTATGCTTGTCCAAGCGTTTTCCCGAAAGACTAACCGTTTTTTAAATAACAAATATTGTAATATTTGAGGGGCGTTTTCACTCTCCTGGAATTTGAGATTTGAGAAACCCCTCCTTATCGAACCTCTACACCCCACAGTCAATCTGTTTGCCAAAAATCAGCTTTAAACGTCAAGCAGTTTAAGCAGAATCGTGATTAATCAATGACCAGATTTTTCGAAACACCCTGTATAAATATATAAAAAATCTTAAAATATGTAAAACAACAAAATAAAATATACGTGTTTAAGATTTTTTCCGAAAAACTCACCGGTTTTTAAATAAAAAATATTTTTATATTTGAGGTAAGTTTCACCCCCTTAGAATTCGAGTTTCGAAAAATCCCTTCTTATCGAACCTCTACACCCTAAAGTCAATCTGTTTTCCAAAAATCAGCTTTTTACGTCAAGCGCTTTAAGCAGGATCGTGATTAATCAATGACCAGATTTTTCGAAACACCCTGTATACATTTTTAAAAAATCTTAAAATATGTAAAAAACAAAATAAAATATACGTGTTTAAGCGTTTTTTCGAAAACTCGACCGTTTTTTAAATAAAAAATATTGTAATATTTGAGAGGTGGTTTCACCCCCTTGGAACTGGAATTTCGAAAAATCCCTTCTTATCGAACCTCTACACCTCTTTTCCTAGAATCAACCTGTATGCCAAAATTGAGCATCTTACGTTGAGTGGTTTGAGCAGGATCGTGATTAATCAGTATGTCAGTCACTTAAGGATTTTATATATTAGTATAGATAATCATCTAAAAGAAGATGAAAAAAAGTTTAAGGAATTTTTCCGATTGAATCTTGATCAATTCCAATTTGTTTTGTCACTAATAATAGAACAGGACATTACAATCCATGGAGCAAATTTTGTTAAATATCTCATCACATCCGAAGAAAAATTGGCTCTGACATTAGGATAAAAAAAATATTACGCAAGTAGTTTTTTTTATTTTTAAAAAATAAACTTAAAAATACAAATGCTTATGACCGGCATGGTGAACCTATTTTGTGGGAATAATAATATAATAACTCATGGAAAGTCAACTACGATTTCAGCCTGCTTCGCGATCAGTCGAACAGCAGCCGCTGCAGCGCGGGCTGTCGCTGCTTTAGTCGCGCTGCACAAGCCAAATTGGTTCCATTTGAAACTGTACAAACCAGTGCAGCGGCTGGAGGTGCAGCTGCTAGCCGCCGCCGCAGCCAGCCGCGGCACCGAAATCGCACCTCAAGTCTCACTCAGAATCTTGAAATTAGTGGAGTAAATAAAATTAGCGGTTTCAATCATATTTTATACTTATAAGTTTACGTTCATTCGCAATGTCTAATAATACAATTAAAATAAATAGAATATCCTAGCAACAGCTTGCGGTACTCAGTTGTATCCATAGAGAAAGCCTAAAAATTAGCCATAGGTAAAGGAACCGCCGAACCGCTCCGAAATTTTCAAAAGCTTGGCGTAGCGGCTGTTGCAAGAATAGCGCCAAATAGTGTTTACATTGCTCTTATGGGCACTTTCCAATCCAAATTTGTTTCATTTATCTATGTAATTAGCTTATAAAATAATAAACTTTTCATTTTTAATCACAGTTATTTCTCTTGACGGATGATAAATTAACCCTCGAGTACTCGCGCGGCGATAAATTACACCAGCGGTCGCATGGGATACATTTGTATTCCTATGTAAAACTGTTGTATTTAGGTGGAAAAATTAGCATAATAATATATTTTATGAGAAGTAAAACACTTATTTACAAAAAAAATACTGTATTATGAACACAGACGAAAAAACAAAAACATGCAATTCATATAAATATAAAAAAATGAAATTGCTCAATTTTGATTTTCTGTGCATTTAACACAAAGCGTTGGGTAGTTCCTTTTTATGTTCTAGGCAAATCCACGTGCTACATAAAGATCAATAGTTTCTGGCCCTCTTATCTTTTTTCTAGGACACAAATATCATCGACTATTTCTGGTTTTCAGCCTCTTTGCTTCCTGGACTTCCACGGAAGTTAAACGTTCTTGAATATTGAATATTATCCGGCATTTTTCTCCCATGTACCAATGCATCCATTTACTCGGACATCTGCTTGCCATTTTGCTGAGCTAATACCAAAAGGACATACGTAATAATATAATAGAAATTAATATTTTCGTAGGCCTTTGCTACAAAGCAAAATACTTTGATATAAAGAAATAAACATGTTAGGCTTGAGTTTTCGATTCATAAGTCATTTTTATTATTCGTCATATATTTATTAGTCATTATATTTTCATTCAAAAGTCATTTTCTTGTTAATGATATAAAAAAACTTGCAAAAGGGCAATGATTATAAGACGACATAAAGGGTCACGCGGGATACACCTGTATCCCACAGCAAAACAACACACGTAAACACGGTAAAATCTAAAAGTGACACATCCACAATAATACTAGTAGCACAAGCAAAGTGTGATAAAAGAATACCTAGAGGCGCGTAGGCAGCTTCGTTTTAGTGTCGGCGCACGCGCGTTTTTAACATGCGTGGGATACGCCTGTATCCCGCGCGAGTATTCGAGGGTTAAAAGTTAAAATTATAATTATAATAAATATTATTCGTTAATTTTGGAGTATAGTTTATGAAAAGTTAAAAGTTTGTTAACTTTTTCTACTAATTGAAGACTACTACCTCTACTACTACCAAATAGGAGATAAGACAAGAGACGACAGTAGACAAAGAAGTCGAATTTCGGAGATACATGGAAATTTAAAGGTCCTATTTTAAAGGTCCTATTATTTAAAAAATAAGCAAGATTTTCTGAAAATAAATTAATAATATAAATAACATATGTTAATGCAACAATTTAGTTTTTAGTTTCAGTTCTAAATTACTAATATTCTGACAATGTCAAACAAACTTGTAACGTTTTTAGTTCGTTACATGTCTTTTGTATATGATATATGATGTCTGGCATATCGTCACCGGATCCCGTATCGCTCAGGCCTGATATTTTATTTGAGGTGCTTGGCGTAATTTTTACGTCCTCTAGTCAACAACCCTGTTATCGTTTCACTACTTCTGTGGAGCGCTGTCAACATCGCTCCAAGATTTCGCTCTCCGCGCTTAACCTCACTTTTTGGTTTGGCCGGTTTGCGGCACGGTTGCAAACCCTGCTTTTAGAAATGGTAATTTAAATCTTGCTGCAAAATCTGAATCAGCTGCCATTTCGAAGCTACAGGTAAAGATGAGTTATTATCTTTTTTAGATTCGTTATTATTATTGAATATTTTTAAGGTAGAGTTTTGGATTGGCCCACCTCAACTCGTATTTTTTTCTCGTTTGCTGACACGTTGGTTTTATTTTGTCCTCCAGAATGTTAAATGGAAGAAAGGACAGTTTCTTTGTTTATTATTGAGCCCTCGGAAGTATTTCGAGGTAGGTTTATTTTGCTTATTAGACCTTGTTTGGTTTTAAACAAGAGTTTCGTATTTTTAGGGTCCAAGGTTTGGACAGTATCCAAGTTACGGACATTATCTTATGGTTGGATGCCCAAGTTACGGACATTATCTTATGGACGGATGTCCAAGTTACGGACATTATCTTATGGTTCGATATCCAAGGTACGAGTAGTGTCCCCATATTGCCACAGTATTGATGTAGCGTAAGACCCATGCTGCTTCGTTCCCATTTCCAAGCCTAGTCAGTAGTTACGGCTGTATTGATTCATGGTGTCCTCATTCTGGCCTCTTTTGTTGTACTGGCCAACAGGATAGCCGAGAGACAGTACAGAGATATGAGCCCACCTGACGCTGTTACTGTTTGAAGCATGATTACATAAAGAACAGCTAAGTGTAGATTTAAGTTCTAGTTTTACATTTGACATTTAAAACATTTTCGGTCTTAACATAATAACGTACATCTTAAATAATATCGTACAGACTTTACGTTTAGTGGTTAAATTTCTTGTGTCAGATTAGTATTTAAAATATGATTTAGATCATAGTTTCTTTGCGAACATTACGTCTTGTAATAGTATTACTTTCTGTATATATCTATTGTGTGATTTTAAAGATGAATAACCGAACAGATTCTAGAATCTACGCTTGCAACATCTCAGATTTGATATCGTATAAATTTAACAAATTAAAGTAATGCTACCCTTCATATATTTTCTATAACTTTACATGTATTGTATTTTATCATAGTCATTTTCATAGAACATATTTAGTACTATTTTTAACATAACTTTCTTCGAACCACTATATTTGCTTTCCAAACCACTATATTTGCTAGAATTCTACAATGTTATTTACCTTCAAAGAACATCATGAATAAATATAGTCATTAGTTTTAAGTAATATACAACTGTGTTTTCTTTCTCTTTTCATGCCTGGCGCCCAATATATTTTTTTGTTTATTGTTATTAATTAGTTTTCTTTCCAGTGAAATATCTTATCCACGACTGCTCTCAGAAGAAGCTGCCGTTCTCAGTGGTAGTTGTTTAAAAAACGCTATAAACTAAAGAAGTAATAATTAAAAGATTAATATTTAGTTATATTTGAAAGATAACAGAAAAATTTGACAATATAACAACAAGGACATATAACACCCGAGACCAAATTGTTACCATGGCACCAAACAGTGCCGTGGCCATATAGTTTTCTTAACTTAGCTGCTTGAAGGGATATGATGTAGGCGGTAGTATCATACTAAAGCTTGATTTTCATGCATCCGTTATCCGACGATACGATGATACGATATTAATTTTATTGGTTGAATTTAAAGACTTCGATTGGTTAGAAACGGTTAACCAATCGAAGCGTTTAAATTCAACCAATAAAATTAATATCGTATCATCGTATCGTCGGACAACGGATGCACGAAAACCAAGTTTAATTAATTACGAAAAAAAACGTATTAAAATGTTAACAAAAGGTACAAAACTAGTATCGACGATTAGCACATATCAAGTATATATAGTATCAGAAAAATAATTACCAAATTCAACAAGAAAATGCTAAAAAGGTGGAGTGGACTGTTTATTTACTTATGAAATGGAACTCCTGGCTCTTTTTTATCGTTGCGGCTTTTACACTTGAAAGCTGAACTGAACACATCACTATTATAATAAAGTTTATAAAAAGTCCACTACACACAACAAGTTATTAAAAATCGCTAAAATTGTCGCTGTTGACGAGGTGGTGACTCCAATTTTATCGCGTCTAACGTAACAAATTCTGCTGCAATCCGTGTAAAAGTCAAATTTCCTCGCTACGACCTCCTTATACAGCTACAGCTACACAATATTGTCACTGGACCGGGCACACCAGCAGTAGTAGGTTTTTGTCGAGCTCTATCTTTGATATCACCTGTCCGTCACTTGTCACTATCAGATAAAATCAGATGTTTTTGGATTTATTTATCCTTTGTTTTGGTTATTGAAATTTTATAGTTATCAGATAAAATTTCGTAGTTAAATCGTTTATTTTTGATGTGGATCACAGTGATTCGTTCATTTTAATTGTGAAATTTCTGAGTTAAGTTCGTTCATTGACCGGATATGAAATATGGCTGTGGAAAATATTCGGGAACATCGTTTTTTATTTATGCCTTTTTGTGAGTTGGACTAGTCAATATATATAATTCTCTATATATATCCTGGAGGGAGATTTCCGGTTGAAATCTGATTTTGTGAAGGAAATCGAATCCTTGCATCACTTCTTGTGTACTCCCCGACTGAAGAGTATCGTCGTGAAGAACTGGCTGCCGTTTCGTCAAGCATTCTCTGTTGGTAGTTAACAGGTCTTCCTAGAGAAGGATTAAGGCTTCCGAAACACATTTAGTCAGAGACGTGGTTGGATTTTGTTGATTTGTATGGACTGCCGACCAATTTCCGCAATGGGATTAAAATAGCCAAATTTTCCGACCGATATTCCGATTCCACGTGCCCAAGAGTTCCAAGGTATGCTATAATTCTTCTGCCTATTCTAAGTCAATGCTCAAATGATTTTTATTCGTATTGTTGACTGGTTTTCGACTTTTCCACGCCCACGTGGTGTAGAAAGATTAGTTGAGTGATCTTTTTTAATTCTTATTTGGTTGTTCGTAATTGTAGAGCAAGAAGACTGATCCAGACCGTAGCACAGAACAGTCCAGAATTCCATCCGTTGCTGTTGTCCGTGTAGAGGTACCCGTTGGACATCATTAACCCTCGTTGAGGTAAAGTTCAGATTTGACTAGTCCTTCTTTATTACCTTTATTAACTCCTACACGTTGCGCTA